AACAACAACAACAACAACAGTATTAAAAAAGGTCCAGTCATTGCTATCAAGTCAGAACCAAATTCATAACTGACAGTCCAGTGGTTTTCAGTAAATCACAGGGAGGAGATTGCCCGTCTTGCTCCCATAGGGCAGTTGGTGGATTCGAACTGCCTCCCTTTGCATTGGCAGCATTATCTCCTTACCTAACAGGCCATGGGAGTTCCCTGAATACGACAAAAGGTCCAATACATGACTCTCTTTACAAGTTAACAGATCACTTTTATGGAATTTAAAAGAAGGAGACAAAACACTTTCTTTTTCACAGAAAAAGTTGTATCCCTGGTGTCAGCATACTTGCGCCCGCTCACGAAGCCTTGGTTCCCAGAGTGGCACAGAGAGCCAGATGACGCACACTGAGGACAAGCAGTGAGCGTAAAGGGTCCAGCTTGTTTTCACTGGGCTCACCTGCACCCCTTCAGCTGTCCTTTTTTACAGCAAGGAGCCCTGTTGCTTACAAAACTGCTTTGAATCTACTTCGTAGTGACCCTATATAAAACAGCTTAGAGCCAAGCCCTATTTTTAGCCAACCTTGGTATCTGCAACACTCCCCACCCCCATTACCCTAGTCACTGAGTCAATCCATCTCATCCGGTGTCTTCCTCTCTTGCGCTGTCCCTCCACCCTCCCAAACATGATGTCCCTCTCCAAGGACCCTTTCCTCCTTGCAACATGCCCAAAGTATGTCAGATGAAGCTTCAGAATCCTTGACTCCAGGGAACATTCTGGCTTCACCCTCTCCAGGACAAACCTGTTTGTTCTCCTAGCAGTCCATGGTATAATCAACACTCTTCTCCAGCACCACAACCCAAAGGCCCTCCAATGATCTGTTCCGCATGTGTTTTGGAAAAGGGAGTGTGTCAGGGTTGTATTCTCTCTCCATACCTATTCAGTCTACATGCTGAGCAAATTATTTAAAAGAAGCTGGGTTCTGTGCAGAAGAATGTAACATAAAGATCGGAGGAAGACTCATCAGGAACCTGTGTTAAGCAGATGACACAGCCTTGCTTGCTGAAAGTGGAGGATTTGAAGTACTTGTTGCAGAACATCAAAGAATACAGCCTTCAAGAAGGACTGCATCTCAATGTCAAGAAAACAAAAATTCTTACCATTGGACCTATAGGCAACATCATGATGGCTGGTACCAGCAGTCAGGACATCAGGAGACATAATTGTATTGGGAAAAATCTATCGTCAGGGACCTCTCCAAATTATTGAGAAGTAATGATGTCGATTTGAGGTCTAAGATGTGTCTGACTGAAGCCATGGTCTTTCTGATCACTTGCTATGCATCTGAGAGCTGGACAGTGAATAAGGATGAGAGAAAAAGAATGCCTTTGAGCTGTGGTGTTGGAGAACAGTGCTAAATGTCTCATGGACTGCCACAAGAACAAACAAATATGTCTTGGAGAAATTGCAGCCAGAGTGTTGATAGATTGATAAGGCTTTGCCTCACATACTTTGGGTATGTTGGTAGGAGGGACTTCGGTGAGTGCTACAGTGGGTTCTAGTGTGTCAGGAAGTGTGAGGATGGCACAGGATGGGACAGAGTTCAGATCTATTGTTCATCTAAGGGTTATACCCGACGCAATAGCCCTACCAACAACAGTATATGGCTAGGACTGGAACATCACTGACGTTTGCTGACATAATGGCCACAGTATATAGAGAGAATCATGTTGTTTGTTGTTGTTATGTGCCGTCGAGTCGTTTGCGACTCATAGAGACCCTATGCACAACAGCCCTAAACCCTGCTCTATCCTGTGCTAATTGCACTGCCTCCGACACACCCATACTGATTACCCCAGTCACCGAATCAGTCCATCTCATAGAGGGTCTTCCCCTCCCGCTCCGTCCCTCCACCCTCCCAAGCATGATGTCCTTCTCCAAGGACCAGTCCCTCCTTACAACATGTCCAAAGTATGACAGATGAAGCCCCATAATTCTTGCCTCCAAGGAGTAGCCTGGTTTAACCCTCTCCAAGATGAATCTGTTTTCTTGGCAGTCCAGGGTACATTCAATACTGTTCTCCAGCACCACAGCTCAAAGGCATCAACTCTCCTTCTGTCCTCCCTAATCATTGTCCAACTCTCTGATGCATAACAAGTGATTGCAAAGACCATGGCCTATATCAGGCGCACCTTAGTCTCCAGAGAGACACTGTTGCTCCTGAGTACCTTTGAGAGGTCCCTAACAGCAGACTTTCCCATCGCGATACACTTTTTGATTTCCTGACTGCTGGTACCAAGAGTGTTGACTGTGGAGCCGAGCAAACTGAAGCTGTGAACAATCTCAGTCTCTTCATCATCCATCCTGACGCTGCCGATTGGTCCAGTGGTGAGAATCTTTGTCTTCTTGACATTGAGCCTCAGTCCATAGAGAGAATCATACCAAAGAAAATATACCCCCAAAAAATCAGGAAAAAAAAACAAAAGAAAACCCACCACAAAACATTATTGTAGAATGAATACGAAGATCCAAGGGGTAGGGGGTGGGAGCAAAGGGGTGAGGGGTGTGTGTGTGTGTGTGTGTGTGTGTGTGACTGATCATGGGTTTGTACAATTTGATGGGTGGGCAGGTTGAGGGAAGTGGGAAGGATCTGTTGTGAAAAATAATATACTAGCATTTTGTAAATAAACCAGTATAAAAATACAATGTAAAAAAAAAAAAAGAGAGAGAGAGAAGGGCCTAAGTAGAAAGTTCTGTCCTCACTTAGCCTCTTAGAGCCACTGGAACTCCTGTCTTACTATAGTAGTAAAGACATTCTGCTATTCTGTTCTGCTGTCTTCTGTCCAAATGACCTGTCTTACCAGGGATGCCCTAGAATTTTATAGTTACATTATAAGATGCAATCATCTCTATTTTTGTTTTTGTGATCTCCGGTGATGGATGTAGGTCAGGAGACAAACAACTAAGATTAATTCCAGTTCCAGACAAGGTCACTTCCTCCCCCCCCCATTCTTTAAAGTGTGATTCAAATTCTGTCACTTAAAATATTCTAGACACACTAATTTCACTTGGATTATATGTATTAAATCTTGGTAAGAATTATACATGTAATTTAAAGTTTACTAATAGTAATATTACTCTTTGAAATTGTTTATGCGTCCCTTAATCTCCTTTTAAATTGCTTTCAGGACCTATCCTATCTTTTGCTTGTGTTATAACCCCACAGTCATAGAGTACATTGATCTGACATGCTGGTGTCTTTACAATTTTGATAGCAGGATTATTTTGACTTGTTCTTGTATTGATTTCTTAGATCTCAGTAGAAGGCCAAAAATGAATTCTGTATAATAAAAAGCTTGATTTTCTATTAGTCTCTAATACCATCCATAACCAAACTTAAAAGTTTAGTTCTGTGACACTGATTAAGTGAGTTTTATGTGCCAGTGTATTGGATACAAAATACTAACACCCTTTTCTTTTGACTTTTTTTATAGAATCCGATTATTCTTATTATAACTTAATCCTGAAGAAAGCTGGACAATTCCTAGACAATTTGCACATCAACCTCTTAAAGTTTGCTTTCTCTCTAAGAGCATATTCTCCAACTATTCAGATGTTTCAACAGGTGTGGAAAAATACCAGCACTGTCTTTGACTAAAAGACGTGCTGTCAATATATGTAAAGTTACCTTAATGTTGTCACCAAAAGAAAGTGCTCATTTTAATATCTGGTTCTATAGTGTATAATTGATCATATTACCACTATTCGTTTTTTGGTTTAGTACATATACACAATTTTATAGTTATCTGCGATAAGAAAATTATGAGGACTAAGTAGCAAAATGAATGCTAATGAAAATTGTAATAAAACTTGTTAACAACTTTGAAGCATTTTCTAAGTATAAAGTTGGTTTTATATTTATCTTTGCATTTGCCCTTTTAGAGATTTTTGTTACTTTAATTAATGTTGTGATAAGATAGGAATTGATTGGTTATTTTAGTCAAAGGGTATGTGATACAGTAATTGTCAGTGACTTTAGCTAACTGCAGGGTTTAAACCTTAGATTGCAGCTGATGAGCCCCCACCAGAAGGCTGCAGTGCGTTTGTGGCGATCCACGAGGAGCACACCTGCAAAATCAGTGGCATAAAAAAGCTTCTGAAAAAGGCTCGGAAGGCTAAGTCAAGGTAAATTAACACTCGTCTGCTGTGCAAGAAACAGTCTGTAAAAATCACAGTTGGAGTAGAAGAAACATAATACAAAATTCAAGTGTTCTAAGATGTGTACGTTCAAGATTATAGTCTTGCCTGAAAATCTGATGACTACTTCTCAACTAAAAATTTATGTTCTTAATACATGC